TATTACTATTACTATTACTATTACTATTACTATTACTATTACTATCACTATTACTATTACTATTACTATTACTATTACTATTACTATTACTATTACTATTACTATTACTATTACTATTACTAGTACTAGTACTAGTACTATTACTATTACTATTTCTATTCCTATTAATATTACTATTACTATTTCTATTCCTATTACCATTACTATTACTATTACTATTACTATTATTATTACTATTACTATTACTATTACCATTACTATTACTATTATTATTACTATCACTATTACTATTACTATTACTACTACGATTACTATTATTATTTTTACTATCACTATTACTATTGCGATTATTGTTCATTCTATTTGTATTATTATTGTTATTACTACTATTACTAGCACCACTACTACTAGTACTACTGCTACTACTACTACTACTTCTACTGCTACTACTATTACTACTACTACTGCTACTACTACTACTACTTCTACTACTACTACTACTACTACTACTACTACTACTACTACTACTACTACTGCTACTGCTACTGCTACTGCTACTGCTGCTGCTACGACTGCTGCTGTTACTACGACTACTAGTATCATTACTGCTACTGCTACTGCTACTGCTATTGCTTGCGCACTGTCGCCAGGCCCCAGGCTCTGCGGTGCTCTCGCGCGCTGTGTTCACAGGCGTTGTGGTGTTCACCAGCGCTGTCGCGTTTTCTGGCTGTGTAGTGTGCACAGGCGATGTGGCATTTACAGGTGCTGTGGTGTTCGCAGGCGCTGTGTTCACAGGCGCTTTGATGTTCACAGGCGCTGTGGTGCACTTCAAAAGCATTGTGGTGTTCACAGGTACGTCGCGTTGATCGGATTGCAAGCTTTTGTGGCGCTGGTCACAGGCACGTCGTGATTGTCGGGCCGCAGGCGATTGATTTTTGCATGCAAATTGCGGTGCTTACGGGCATGTTGCGGCACCACAGGCACACACCCGCCTTGACGTGACCGGCGCGACGAACCCCCCCCGCTGGTCACGCGCGCGACCGGCCCGAATAAACGAACGGGCTCCTGGCGCGGCCAGCCCGCTGCGATGCCGACGCTCGTTGCCGCCTGCCCTCGGGCCCAGGCGGAGTCGTCTGCGCAGGTCTCGGGCGTTTCGTTTCCCAACCGCCGTGTGGTGTCGGGTCCTCGTTCCGAAGAGAGCGCCCCGCGTCCCACCTCACCTGCATCTTCCCTTCCCCTCCCAGCCCCGCATCAGAGTCCAGCCATCCTGTGGTGCTGGGTCTTCGTTTTTCCCAACCATCCTGTGGTGTTGGGTCCTCGTTTTGAAGAGACATCACCCCGCGTCCCACCTCCTCCCGCTGCCCCCGTTCTCCTCCCCCCTCCTCTTCCCATTGCTCTGCCCTCCTCCTTTCTCCCTTCTCCCCCGTCCATGCCTCTGCTCTCCGCATGTCCACTTAGGCACACCCTCCACACGTTTCGTGGCGAGCTCCACCGAAGACTAAAATGGCTGCGTCAACCTGCGTCCCCACCACCGACTTCGGTACACCCCTCCCACGCTTCGCGACCCCACTGCGAGCTCCACCGAAGGCTCCATTTTCTGCGTCCACATGCGTCTCCGCCACCCACTACGGCGCACCACTCCCGCGTTTCGCGGCCCCATAGGGAGCTTCACCGAAGGCCCCAGTGGCCGCGTCTGCACGCGTCCCCGTCGCCCAAATCGGCACACGCCTCACACGTTTCGTGGGCACATTGGGAGCTCCACCGAAGGTCCGAATGGCTGCGTCCACATGCGCCACCGTCGCCCATCTCGGCACACCCCTCATTTGTTTCGTGGCCCCAAGGGGAGCTCCTTCTGGGCCGTGGGCCGATCTAAAGGGCGATTTTGTAGATTACTCTATTGCCCAGACGCGTTGCGGTAGTGCTATATAGTCGCTTTTGGGGTGCTTCGGCCCCACCCTGCAGCGCCCTCGCGGCGTTTTAAGCAGGTCGCAGGTCGCAGTTCGCAATGGGGAGCTCCACCGAAGGCTTCAGATGGTTGCGTCTACATGCGTCCTCGCCGTCCATGTCGGTACACCCCTCACACGTTCCGTGGTTTAATAGGGATCACCGAGCGCGTTTCACTATTCGCAAAGTGCCTATTCGCAAACGTCAGAAGAAAAAACATATGTCTGCATCAATGTCTAATACATTGTAATGCATCGTAAACCTCCCATGGCGGATCCAGGCCATTTGCGAGTAATTACTTTGCACGTAGCGGAACGCGCTTGTCGAAGGGAGTTGCACCGTTTCGCATCGCTAGCCTAGCAGTGGTCGCAGTTGCATATGGTTGGGTTCTATGCCTAGGCATGTTGAGTGGCTTGCTTGTTTGCCAGTTTTCCCAACCATCCTGTGGTGTTGGGTCCTCGTTTTGAAGAGACAGTGTCCCGCGTTCCTCTCCTTCCTTCCTCCTCCCCCTCCTCCCTCCCCTGTCTCCTCCGATCCCTTCCTCTGCCCTTCGAACCAGTCGACCATTTTGGCACACCCCTCACACGTTTCGTGGCCCCATAGGGAGCCCCACCGAAGGCCCAAATGCAAGCGTTCGCATGCACCCGTCGCATCCATTTTTGCACACCACTCACGCGTTTCGTGGCCCCATGGGGGGCCCCACCGAAGGCCCACATGCCAGCGTTCGCATGTGCCCATCGCACCCATTTTGGCACACCCTTTGCACGTTTTGGGCCCACAGGGAGCCCCACCGAAGGCCCAAATGCAAGCGTTCGCATGCGCCTACCGGACCCATATTGCTATACCCCTCGCACGTTTCGCGGCCCCACAGGGAGCCCACCGAAGGCCCAAATGCCAGCGTTCGCATGCGCCCTCCGAGCCCATTTTGACCCGCCCCTCACGTTTGTTTCGTGGCCCCACAAGGAGCCCCACCGAAGGCCCAAATGCAAACGTTCGCATGCGCCCACCGCACCCATTTTGGCACACCCCTTACACGGTTCCTGGCCCCACAAGGAGCCCCACCGAAGGTCCACATGCCAGCGTTCGCATGCGCCCACAACACCTATTTTAGCACGCCCCTTACACGTTTCGTGGCCCCATAAGGGGGCCCCACCGAAGGCCCACATGCCAGCGTTCGCATGCGCCCACCGCGCCCATTTTGGCACACCCTTCACACGCTTGTGACCCCACAAGGAGCCCTACCGAAAGCTCAAATGCCACCGCTCGCATGCGCCCACCCCACGCATTGGGGCACGCCGCTCACACGTTTCGGGCCCCACAGAAGGCCCAAATGCCAGCCTTCGCACGCGCCCACCGCACCCATTTTGGCACGCCCCTCGCACGTTCCGTGGCCCCATAAGGAGCCCCACCGAAGGCCCAACTGCAAGCGTTCGCATGCGCCCACCGCAACCATTTTGGCATACACCTTACACGCTTCGTGGCCCCAGAGGGAGCCCCACCGAAGGCCCAAATGCAAGCGTTCGCATGCGCCCACCGCGCCCATTTTGGCACACCCTTCACACGCTTCGTGGCCCCATAGGAAGCCCCACCGAAGGCGCAAATGCCAGCGTTCGCACGCGCCCACCGCACCCAGTTTGGCACGCCCCTCACACGTTTCGTGGCCCCATAGGGAGTTCCACCGAATGCGGTGCATACAACGACGGTGCCCGCAAATGCAGATGGCTGTGTTTTCGCCAGGCTAATTTTTGGCGTTTCCGTCCTGCCATTTCTGCAAGGGGCGTCCCTGGCCCGAGGTGCCCCCCCTTATGAGTGTCCGAGAATGCCTAGGCAGCCTCCAGCCCAGACCTCCTCGCGCCGCGAGGAGGCCACGGCGGACAGTCTTTGTCGTCCGTGCTCGGCCTCTGAGGGCCCTCGCCCATCTATCGTTGAGAGGAGGTATGCTTGGGCTCCCCAGTTTCCAATTTACTTGAGGCGCCTTCCTATGACAGCACTCGAAGGGTTTCCCCTCCTCCTTCCCTTTCGGGGGACAGGCGCGCAATCTGCTTTCACCACCTTCCTACTTCTCGCATCTGACCGCTTCTTCCGAACGATGGGTGCTCGCAGTCCTCTTGCCACGCCTCTTTCTACCCTTCCCTCCTCATCCCAAAGCAAGTGTAGCATTCTGGATTCCAGGTTCTGAAGCAATCGTGTACGACGACATCGGAGCTTCGGCGTTCCGGCGCCCCCCGCCGAGCCCTTAGAGGCCCCCCCTCCCCCCCCAGGCGAACATCGGCGCCGTGCCCTGCCTTGCCTCCCCGCCCCCCAGGCTTACCTTCTGAGCCTACTCGGCATCTGAGCCTACCAGAATGCCGAGCGGACCTGGGGCTCGGGACCCGGGCCGTTCTGCCGCCGAGCGGGCCATGTGCACGCCACCCTGCTTGGACTGAGTTTGCTCGTCGGGCCATTCGGTCCGAATGAGCTCATGCGCCCGACGGGCTCGGAGGAGGAGGAGGAGGAGGAGGAGGAGGCGGAGGAGGAGCAGCAGGAGGAGGAGGCGGAGGAGGAGGAGGAGGTGGGGTCTGCCGGGGCTTGCGGCCAGAGGCGGGCGCCTGGCGCCGCCTGGTCGCCGCCGCTCGTGCGCTGGCCTTCGCGCTTTGAGATGCACGCAGGTTCGGCCACAATCGGAGGCAACGACAGGGGGTTGCACGTGTCACACAGCATGGCTTGCCCTGTTTCGTTTCGCCTCGCCGCGCGTAAGGTCAGGATTGTCATGGACAAGTTCATCGAGTACGACGCAGGCCAACGGCGGCGACGCAGAGAGGAGGAAGAGGAGACGGAGGATGAGGAGGGCGAGGAGGAGGGGGAGGAGAAGGAGGAGAAGGAGGAGGTGACGATGACGACGACGAAAGCGAAGACGACGACGAACACGACGACGATTCTGATGTTGATGATGAGGATGATGATGAGGAGGATTAGGACAACCATGCGGATTATGCTGAGGATGAGGATGAGGATGATGATGAGGACGATGATGAGGACAAACATGATGCTGATGACTCTGCTGCTGCTGATGAGGAGGACGATGATGCTGCTGATGATGATGACGATGCTGCTGATGATGATGATGCTTATGGTGATGCTGCTGCTGATGAGGAGGATGAGGACGAGGATGAGGATGAGGATGATAACGAGGATGAGGTTGAGCATGACGATGATGATGCTGATGATGCTGCTGATGATGATGCTGCTGCTGATGATGATGATGGTGGTGGTGGTGATGATGGTGATGATGATGGGATGATGATGATGCTGCTTACTATTATGATGATGATGATGATGATGATGATGATGATGATGATGATGATGACTATGACTACGATGATGATGACGATGCTGCTGTTGATGCTGATGATGATAACGACGACGACGATGATTATGACGATTATGTGATGATGCTGATGATGACGACGATGATGATGCAGCTGATGCTGATGTTGATGATGATGATGACTGGTGATGAGGATGATGATGACACCGACGACGATGACGACGATGATGATGATGCTGATGCTGATGCTGACGTTGATGACAATTATGTTGCTGCTGATGATGATGCGGCTGATGCTGCTGCTGATGATGATGATGATGATGATGGT